GCTGACTGCAGGTGGGAGATGATATATTTCAATATCCTCTTGTCAAAAGCTGTACCAACAGTTTTAGCAAACATATTTCTAGGATACTATTCACTTACCTTAAAAAGGTAGAGTTTTTTTTCTTGTTTAGTGATCAATAATGAAGACCGGAAGTGACGGTACCAAAAGAACAACAGAAGAAATGATGAAAAATTAAGAAGAAACATATTTGAGCTTTATACTTGTTCTGGAGACCACTATTCCTACAAGATGCACACCTTTGTTAAACTGGCATTCACATTAGAAGCAAGAAGCATAATTGCATCTTTAAAATTGTAGAATCCAAATTACTCCCATAAAAGTTTCCCAGGACTTACAGTTATGCATCTCATATGCCCTTCCTGATATGACAAACATACCAGATTTATCTTCTGGTTCTTGCATCATAAAAAAGTATATTTCTAGTGAAGGCTGACAAATGGTTTGAAAGGTGTGAAATGGTTTGAAAGGTGTGAAATGAAATTAATCATTCCCACTAAAAAGTTGGAAATAATACCTTAGGATACGTGTAGTCACAAATATCTTCTTTTCCTCACGGATGTACCAGTAAACAATCCTCCAAAATTATTGAGCAGGATTTGAATTTTTCTCCTTGTATATTAGTGTTTTCCTGGGAACCACTAGCAGCAAATCTGACACATACTGGGAACACAGAACTTGATGACCTAGAAAGTCACTTCCAGTTTTAAAGGTCTAATTCCTACCAGTGTTTCTCTCAAAGCATGGGGACAGTTACACTAAACAATCCCGTACTTTGAGCATGAGCAATGAAATAAGTGAGATAAAGTTTTGCCAGATGTAACACAAGGCAAAAGGAGCATTGCTGGAAGCTTAATCAAGAAAAATCGCTAACCACCAAACTGCAAAGCATGTGGTTCCTCCAGCCCTCCTCAGAATTAATCTTTGGGAGGTAAAGGAGGACAAAAAGAGGTATGAAATATGCCTGTGTTATCAGATGTGAACAAGGTCATGCACAGCAGTTGACCAGTCAAGCAGAGTCACCAGCTCACTGCCCCAGCAGACCGTGTTGTCTGGAAGAATACTTGGTCCCTGACTGACCAGGAAACTGCCTGCCCAGATCCCAGGCTCCCCATCACGCTGGGCTGCCAGCCAGACTACCAAAAGGATTTTGTATCAGCATCTCCATGATATACTCCAAAACATCCTTGTCTACAAAAGCTTCAAATTTTTACTTTACATACGAGTTTGGGATTTAAAAAACCAAACAAATCATGGTTTGGCATCCATCTCCTACTCCCATCAACCCAAACAGAAATTTCATTCTCTGCAGCCCTCCAACTCTAACTGACACAAAGTTCATGGTTGGCTTACATTTTTTTTTTATTTTTTTTTTAAATCAGAATAGTCATATAATGCATACTTAGAAAAAGAATATAGATCCTTGGCCGGGGGGAGGGGAAGAGAGAGCCTGGGGAACTTTAATCAAAACTATCTCAGATAAAGTTCAAGGCTCCTGCCCACTTTTCATGCACTTTCATGCTACTTCTTCAGGGGGCAAAAAAAACCCCACCAAGACCTCCCCATACAGTCACACAGAAGTTGGCTGGCTCAGCTATTCTGGAGGTAAAGTACCAAAGCTGTTTTCTCGCTCTAGCTGCTCCAAAAATAAAAATCCAATCCCAGCTTGCCAGAAGAAGGCCACTTGCCCAAAATTCATCCTACACAATGAGTTCAAGTGCAGAAAGAGGTAATGAGAATGGCTACGTGAGCATAATCGCAGCCAGACACAGCAATTGCGAGGAATACTGAAAAGCCCTGGCAGGATTTTTTCAGGAAAGCTTTTCTGCACATCCCAACCTGTCTTCAGGTTTCAAGTGCCACCTTCAAATCACTTGCCTGCCCTACTCCCGCCACAGCCCCAGGCGCAGCAGAGCCAGCCGTCCCCAAGGCAGCGGTATTACCCTTGAGATCAGATGCAGAGGAGACCTTCTTTAGCTCTGGAGTGGTGAGTAACCTGCTCTGGACACCCAACATGAGCATCTGATCCCCTCAACAACCCATGTTTGAAACACAGACATCTTCTTTCCCTGGCCATGAGTCTGGCTATTTTATCTTGCACAGGGCATAGCAATGCAGGCTTTTCATTATTGTCGCAGAAAGGTTCTGATGAAGAAAAAGGACACTCTGTAGATGACAGGATCAAAGTAGAGTTTTGTGAAAAACAGTGTTTATTTTGGGAAAGACTGTGAGAAAGGACTTTGACAGGAGTCAAACTTATTCAGGCTCTGACTGTACTCATCCAGAAGACTCAAGGGAAGGAGAACAAGTCTAGATTCTGAAGTTGTTCAGACCCTGGTGACAATCCTCTGAAGTCTCAAGTTACTGCCAAACAGAAGGGAACAACTTGATGATTGAAATATTGGGTGGGGAAAAAAAAAAAAGAAAAAAAAAGAATAAAATCTGTTCTTTCAACTTCTTCCTTTCTGAAACAAGACAAAGAAACTTTATTATGAGTGGTCTTTCTAACTTGCTTTAGAATTGACAGGTATAAAACCACTGCAGAGGCTGGTGGGAAATGGGATGGGAATGAGATGGAAAAAGAGAAAAGGTTAAAGAGCAAGTACGACATAAAAAACTCAATCACATCACATTTCTCCCAGAAGCTCCCTACATTTCTTTTGATGCTGAACAACTTTTAGGCACCCAACACCTAAAAAACCCCAAAACTCAGACTGGGAAAGCCAGTGAGGCAGCACATCAGAATATGAAATGTTATATATTATTCTTTAATCCACCTGTACAAGTACAGCAAAGTACAGGCACATAAAGTGGCCTAGGGAGAGAAAGTTAATAATAGATGAGAGTTTAAAATTGCTTTTCCAATACAAATACTTACAATTACCGTATGCAAACCACTAAAATAAATTTCCACAGAAAAATAAATAAAGTTTCTGCTAGTAATACAATTAAATGACATCTAAGTGCCCTTACAGTATTGATCAGAAACCCATCAACAGTAAGTATAGCTCCAGAATGACTTTGCACTCATGGACAAGATACTCCTAGTTCTTACTTTGTTTCATGCCATCTGTTAAGAAATCCAAAGCATTACAGAATGTAACACATTTCTGTAAAAGTTTGCATTAGCCTGTAACAAAATTTGATACAAACTTACAGAAACCTAAAACTTAGATTCTAACCCCTTCAGTGCATTCCATGCAAGCACACAGCAGTTCCGCATCACACAGAAAGAACAGCAACAAACTGCTCTCAACATCCAAATATTGGGAGAAAAAGGAACGGATGGAAATTTTCTTTCGATAGCATCTTTTAAAAATGTTCCTCATCCTGAAATGCCACAGGATAGCATGTGGCCAACAGCAGATCATGAATTTAAGTGAACTTCCGCTGAGGTGGAATCACTACATACAGAGCAGCCCAACTACCACCCAAACCCTCTGGTTTGTGGATGAAGTCAGGTCAGGTCAAGCCCTACTGGTCTGCAACCTTCTGGATACCTCAGCAGGGAAAAACACAGTTCCAAGAAGGCCTATTCTTTACCCAGCTGCAGCTGCTTTTCTACCAACTCAGGCAGAATAAAGTTTTTAGCCTGAATCCTGAGCCAAAGGTGTAAAGGGGAATGAGAGAAATACAGATATACCAAATGCCAGAGTGACAACTGCTATCTTGGGCAGTCTTAAAAAAGAACAACCTACTAAAAACTTTTCCTAGGCCTGTGTCTAAATATTATTTTGCCCATGCTTCTCCTTCCCCACCACATCAGAGAGACTCACACTTGGCAGGACTTTGTAAAACACACCGGAGAGACTGAGAAAGCAGGGCTGCAGGACCTACAGCAGTCTGGGGCTGATCAGCTTCCAAGCAGTAAAGGGTACACATTCTGTGGATACAAGGATATCCAAGAAGGATACAAAAACTCTCACAATAGCCTCCAAAGGTTGGGCAAAAGGAATTTCACTTAAAGTCACTAGTTTTCAGGTCAAAAACACTGTGACATTTTAAGGATAAGCACAACCACCTTGGAAGCCACCATCTTCATTAAATGCTCACAAGAGTAGTCATACAGGGTCCTTCACCAAGGCTGCTCTCAACAGAAGGCCAAAAAAAAAATTGCTGATGCAAATTAAAATGGTGTTTCTGAAATAAGAACATCTTCTATGGTTTCTGATGTTTCCAGTGCAAAAGTACTGCCTTATCTAATGTTCCTAAGATCCACTCTGACACCAAAACCCTTTGCTCTAGAGAGGCAGATATGGTGATCACATCTGAGTACACCCCATGATTATTCTGTCCAGGTTAGTTAAGTGTCTAGACCACACCCTCTCAGAG